TTAATTTCATTATTTCTGATGTAAATTAAATACTTCCTTTTAATACAATTCATAGATAATCTACAAACTCTACTGAGCATATCTACTCCATTATATTTGAAAGAAGAAAATATATTCATGTATGATAATGCATCTATACATACAAATTAGAATTGTACAGATCATTTTCCAAGAAATAAAGATTTAAATCATGTTTTGATTATCATATTCATCTGATTTAAATCCCACTGAAAATTTATGTTCAATCATGAAGAGAGAGATATACAAGATTCGGTTAGAGTTGAAGTTTGCAGATGACACAGTAGCAACATTAAATTTATTTATAAAAACTGTAAAAGAAGCATGGAATTTAATAAATGAGAGTATTTTTTATAATCTTTCTATTACAATGTCAAATTATGTGACTGCAGTCATTGAAGTAAAGGAATGATATACAAAATATTGAGTGGAATTCAATCTCCACAGGATATAATTAATTAATTAAAGCTAGTTACAGCAATAAACAGTGTAAACACTAAACTACTTTTGAATTAATGAATATTGATTAGAAGTCTCAATAATTTCAAACTTTTTATAAAGCGTTATATGTGCGGTGCGCTAATCTGTAATAAACAGTTTGGAGTCAACACAACATAATATATTGAGAGGTATGTGATAGAGTAGCCATATGTAGAATGGTTGATCTTCTCATTGTTTGATCATTAATTAATTATATATAAAGGTAATCATGTGCAATGAAGGGCTGTCTGAGCAACTAGTGCTTAACACCCCTCCACATATCAATATGTGTGATGTGTTCCTACAAATCTTCTATGGTAGCTATTTCAATTTGAATCATTTTTTAAAATCATGCTACATATAGAAATTTAATCATTCTCACTGTTATCAATAAAAAGTTTTAATAAATCAATGAAATATTTAAATATCATTATATTCAGAGGTTTGATTAATCCATCTGCTATCATATTTTCAATGGAAATATGTTTAATAGAAATAATACCTTTATTTAATTGTGTGTGAGAATAATAAAAGTGTAATGCACTCGTTTATTATTTCCTTATTATTATATTATCTTTGTTTATATCTTCGTCTATTCTTACCTCTTTCCATTATACTCTCGCTACCACTATTTCTGTATGTATATATATATGGATGCATGTATTTCGCATATCTTCTTTCTCTTTCTTTTCCTCTTCAGCGATTAGCTACAACTACAATTACAACTTCAACTATACTACTACTATAATTATTATTATCTTCCACTACACTATATACTATCTTCTACTATTCACTCTTCACACTGTCATCACCCCTCACAAAAAGTGAGTGTTGATATGCTTGCTGTGTGCTGTGATTGTGACAATGATAATTAAATTGATTGAATCTTTATTATCTGCTCTGATAGACAAAAGGTTTTTTGCTGTAACAAATTCTAGTTCCATCATCATATTGCACAATTATGTTGCTTCATATACTACTTCATTAAATGCTATATATTCTAGTTCATTTGAATGTGAAAAAATATAAAATTGTTTGAATGAATGCTATGAAATTGATGCATCTGTTAATTTGAATATGAAATTTGAAATAAATTTACATTTATTATTCAACAATTTTGCTCAATTTGAATCTGTATAATTTATCAGCAAATATGATATGTTGAGGAATTCATCAATTTCATTCTTGAAATCTTTATATAAAATGTCAAAATTGCTCATTTTTTTTAGATATTGTATGATGTGAAAAAGAGTTTTTTATATGTTAAATGTAAATGCAATATTCTTCTGCATTAATAGAAATATTGCTCATATAATATTTAAGTATAATTTGATTGTCAGATACTGCAAACATTTTATTTTATATTGATATCATTTTTTAATGAACTCTTTTTCTCATTTTGATATGAGATTTCATTTATTTTCAACTTTTCAAATATTGATGTAAAGATATACTTAAAATACTCCAGAATTTTTCAACTTAAGAATAAGCTAATATACAAAGTCAATTTAATACATGCAATAGCAAAATTCCAGCCCAGAATCAAACAACTATTCAAACTATTAAATTTAAGAAAGAATGTCAAAAGAATGACAATAGATCAATACATTCAATTCAAAATAAATGAAATAAAGAGTATAAAAAACAGCAACTATTAAAAGAAAAGAAAGCATTCACAAATCAAACTTTTCAAAACAAGTCAAAATCAAAAGTAATCAAAATGAAATAAATTTCAAAGCAAAAGTAACAAAATAAAAATAAAAACAAGAACAAAAATTAAAGCAAATACATAGAAATAAAAAAAAAAAAAAAAAAAAAAAAAAAAAACCAAAAATTGAATTTATTATCAAATCAAACTATTCAATTGAAATCTTATAGCAATATTTGATTCTTTCAAATATTCAATCAAGAATTCATTTCCAGTTTTTGTATTGAATAAAAGTTTTAAATTTAAAAATTTGAGAGTATGTTGATTTTATATTTGTTGTTCATTTTCTTATTCAAGGAAGATTTCAAATATCTGAATGTTTAATATATTTTCTTTCAGTTCTCATGTATCACCATTAGATCTCCAACCCGTTCATTTCACAAGATATTTCAGAGGTTTATTTTTTCATTGTCATTTTTCAAGAATTTTCTCAATTTGATATTCTTTTTCATTGTTGACAAGTTCTGATCCTGGTTCTGATAAAGCTTTATTTCTGTGGTTGTATGGCTTCAATAAAAAAACATGGAATACAGAATGGATGTTTCTATATAAAGATGGCAGTTTCAGTTTGTGTATTTGTTTTCCAATAATATTCAGAATCTTAAAGGGTTCAACATATTTACAGTTGAGTTTACAAACTGGGTGTAGTAATCAGAGGTTTTTTACATTGAGTATGATGTAATCATCTATTTTAAATTATTGAGGCTTATATTTTGCATTGTAATAAATTTTCTGTCCTTGTCACACTTTTTGTAGGTTCTCAATGAGTTTGTGATGTGTTTTCTCAATATGTTTCACACAGCTAGCAGCATGTATGGCAACCGGTTGTGATGGTTTGCTGATGTTAATTTTCAAATCAGGTTAATATCTTATTAAGGCTTCCACAGATGCCATTTCAGTAGAGATATATTGAAAGATATTGTAAATAAACTGTGCTAGTGATAGCCAGCATGCTCAGTCATCTTGATGATAGTTGATAAAGCATCTCTTACCAAAGTATTCCAAGGTTTGATTTTGTCATTTCATTTGACCTTCAATGTCAAGGTGAAAGGCTGTCGAAAGTTCCAGCGTGCG